CCTGTAGGAGAAAGAGAGATAACCAGGTAAATAAATAAGGGCCCTGCGTCCTAACCGCTTTAAAAGAAAACTTATCGAGGAAACGGGATCCTCCCGTATCTGCCAATCGCAGAAGTTCCGTCAGGGAGCAATTTCATTTCAGCAGCGGCGACAGCAGCTCCGTACTTCAAATCGTTTATCAAGTAAATTTCACGGCCATTGTTTTTTTAAGATCAGAAGGCCGGGAATCTCAGCGCGTGGGAATGTGGCCAGGGCGATTTCCTCAGAGGAAGGTCCTCCAGCTTTTTGGTGGCAGAGAGAGAGAGAGAGACAGAGAGACAGAGGGAGGGAGGGAGGGAGGGAGGGAGAGATGCAAAACAGAAACCTTCTTTGTGAGTCTTTTCGGAGGGTAGGGGACTCCGGCAGCCAAAAAGCCTTCGGTTAGTCTGGGAGGGAATGGAGGGAGGGGAGAATTTTTTGTTGTTGAGAATGCGACTTGCTTTGCAAATAAGTCGAGTGGAAAAGACTGTATTTTTTTTGCGTGTGCTTGTGTGTAAATTAAGAAAAAAAAGGGGGGAGGGGGGCTTGGAGTTATTTTTTCCCCTCTTTCCTCCCAGTTGCATATGCGTGTAAGCACGTGCTTTTTAGGTGCGATAAATGTGTACGTGCTCATTTGTTCTGTTCTCCTCTGCAGGTGCCCACAAACTCGCTGTCCCTCCTTTCCTCTTTCTGACAACACACGCACACGCGCGTAAAACGACCGCCGCCACCTTTCATCGACGCCTTCACGCTTCTGAAACCCCCCCAGGCGCGCTGCTGCTGCTCCTCTTTTCAGGAAAACTCCGGTGGCTGGTCGCTACGTCGTCATCTCAACTGTGGTCCTATCTGCTCCGAACAAAGCCTCAAGGCATTCAGTGGCGCGTGTCACATACTCCAAAAGTCCATACGGATGAATAGAAGAATTTTATACGGCCACCTCGGTTGGCTTGATTTCCAGTAGAGGTTTGGTACTGAGCGGCTCTTTTCTTTCCAGTGATTTCTTTTTCCCCCGCGACAGGCCTGCCAAGGAAGGCAAATTTCAACTTTCCAGACAAGGAAGACCTTCCCAGCTTCTTGTTCCCTGTCACTGGGTTTGGCCGATTCTTTCCATTAGAACAGAAAGATCCATTGAGAGTCCCTTTCTGGAGCGAGGGCGGCGGCGGGGGGGGGGGGGGGGGGGGGGCGATTTCTCCTCGTTTCCAACTGAGCTATACCGCGGTTTGTCCAGCAGATGGCACTAGGATTCCATTCATTGCTCTCCCACAGACCCTGGTCCTCTAATCACGACGTGGCCTTTGTCTTACTGAATCTCGGGGATTGTCCACAATCACTCATTGCCGGAAATACGCGGCTTCGCAAGCGAACGGCTATTTTTAGGGCGGTGGCGGGGGAGAGGGCCGTGAGATGCTTCACAAAACGCGGGACTTCTCGAGATAATTTCGACCTCGACCGGTTGTTTTGAAGAATCAAACAATGGGAGGAAAGGTGTGTGTGTGTGTGTGTGTGTGTGTGTATGTATGAGGTTCCCGTAGCTGTGCCATTTGCTCTTCCGGCTGACGTCCCCGTTGGATTTTATACCAGGAATTGTCGGGGGGAATAAGGCAGCCAAGGCAACTGGCGGAGCGGCCTTTCCTTTCTTCCCCGCAGCTTCAGCCGCCTTGCTCCTCTGGCTCTTCCCGCTTTCGTCCCTTTTCTCCGGAAAGAGAAGGGCGGCTGCGGGAGAAGCTGGGCTGCCGTTTGAAGCGCTCTCAGTTTCTTGGGAACCTTTGCAAGGATGTCTGTCCTAGCCTCCTGGAAATAACTTGCAATTCACCGTTTCAGTGAGTCTTTGGGGCGTCCCTCCCTCCTCTACAGGAGGAAAACAAAAAAAAGAGTCAAGGGGACTATTCTGCAAAGTGAAAGTAAGACCCAGCGATGCTTCGTTCTACATAATCGTGGTCAGAGCTAACCAAAGTGGAAGAAAGAGAGAGAGAGAGAAGGTAAAATCGGGTGTGACTGCCATTGTGTGTGTAGGTGTGTGAGACACACCTACACACAAAGAGAGAGAGAGAGGGAGGGAGAGAGAGGGAGGGGGAGATAGAGTGAGAGTTCTGTGTTTAGAAGAAAAATTAGAAAGCTGCTGTGAAAAGTCACCGTTCTGGGCTGTATAAAAAGGACCATATTATAATATATTTCAGAAGGCCGTGAAGCCTGGGTAGCCAGGAGAAACGAAACCATAATTGTACAGCTACTTACTTTCCCCGATATTTATCCACACATTAATTCTTACTGCTGGTATGGAGTTGATCCAACCAAAATAAGACTTGAAAGAAAGCTCCTAATGAATCTCAGCTGAATCCCTGAAATACATTATTTTATTTTCTGTGATCGTAATATTTATTATACGCCTTAATAGGAATAGAAGAGAGGGATAATAAAACGTGCTCTATTATAATCATCCTTTATTCATTCTTCCCTCCTCCTCTTGTTACGTTTTAAATCGCTCTATTAAATTCACCTCTCTCTCACTTTATTTGTACAACTACAAATAACAACTAGCGATTTTTGTTTTTATTCTTCTCTATGGCCCCCAAAGGCTGTTCAGGAACCTAACTTTTTAAACGGCTGTGTTTTTAAACTGAAGGAGAAATATTTTAATCCAGGGAAGAGCAGAGCTGAAGAAAGGCTGAAAAGCGAATCCATGATCTATTAGGACAGATCGCTCCTCCGCTTTCTAAAGATGAAGATTGGGAAGACCACAGGAGAAAACATTGGGCAGATTCTCACATTGACAAACAACCTCCAACACCATTGTAAACCCGCCGTGCTAAGAACAAGGAGTTGAAACCCAATGGCTGGACTCAGCTCAATGTTTATTTAAAGGAGAGGTGAAAACATCATCTCTTTAGCGCTCACTTCTTCCAACTGGCTTTAAATTTAAAGTGCTGGAGGAGTTGCCACCCCCCAGCTTTACAAACCATGTTTGAGTTTTGAGCATTTGAGCGGAGATCATTTTTATTTATTTTTATCTTGCTTTTATTATTTTTATAGATAACTCAAGGTGACTAACGGGTACCTAATACCCCTTCCTATTTCACCCACAGTAACAGCCCTGCAAAGAGGGTTGGACTGAGAAAAAGAGACAATGTTTTGTTTTATTTATTATTAAATTTATATGCCGCCCATCTTGTCTGAGAATGACTAATGCCATTTTCTCAGAAGGAAGCAAGCGCCTTTGAATATCATTTGTCCTTACTCTGAGCAAACTGTGTGAAGGATTGAAAGAGGGATCAACTTCTGTAAGGGGGGGGGGGGGGGGGGGAGCGTTTTCAGTTACCACCCTAACTTTGTATGTTGCTTTCCCGCTAAGCTTTGATGTCTGAGGGAAAGCTTGTTAAGAAGTTACTATGTTGTCAGGGGGATGAAAAGAAAAGGAAGGAAAACAGCAATGAAATCAGTTTTTATGTGTCAAATAGTACCGAAATATTGGTATGAGGAGTAATTAGGAGAAAGGCAATTTTTTTTTTTTGGGACTAGTAGAGTCCATACTTGCGCACTTGTGCCCCTGTTTTGGTAGGTTAAGGCCAGAGGGAACCCAAAGGGTCAGGTTTTGGCTGCCCTGAATGTTTTCTTCTCGAGCAGGATCAGTGGCTGCTCATCTTCAGGGCATCTCGAATCTTGCAATCTCACTGGCATAGCAGCCACAAGATTTTCCGCTCTTGGCATCTGTCAACAGGTCAAAGCCCTCCATTGAACTTTGCTAGCGAGATGGGGGGTGTTGTATCAATTAAACAAACCAACAAACATAGAATGAGCTTTCCCATTCCTTCCAGGAAAATGGATAGCCACTGCCGGGGGCAGAGAGTATGCTATATGCACCTCCATTAAGGAATTAAGAAGCTCCAAGATGGCACCCTTTTAGTTAAGGGCCTTGTGAGCACGGAACTGCAGTGCAAGACGCTGTCCTATTTTTTTTGTGTGTGTGTGTTATTGAAGAAGGTTTGAATCCAGGCAAAGAATTTCCATTTCCACCTGGAACAGAAGTTTCTGTCTAACTCAATAAAGAGCATGTTCTGAGAAGGTAGGCAAGTGAAATAAAACACCAACTCTTAAGACCAGTTGATCAAGTCTCTTGTCGCTGTTTAGCATTTATTGCTTCTTTCACTAACACCCGTTTCACTTAGTAACAAAAGCTATCAGTGGCGTTCAACCTTTTGGACAATATTTTTTTTTTCTCCCCCAGGGCCCAGAAAGGTGAATGAAGGCAACTGTGATTGTGATGAAGAATAACAGGGCATACAATATTTTATATTAAAATACACATTGATTTATGCACACCTTTATATAGATAAACATATAGGCACAATTGGCTTTAAACCTTTGGGGGGGTGGGGGGGTGGGGTGGTAGAACGAATCTCAGAAGGGCCAGGGTTGGACAAAGTTGCTGTCAGGGCCAAGATCCCCTTGAAGTACACTCCATTACAAGTATGAGATGGGTCGCAAATGGGGGTAGGGGGCTTCATGGATTTAAGCATCTCAGAGAAGCAGGACCGGAGTTGTTTTACCCTGACCATTATTAAATTGGGGTGGTGGACCAGAGGGAAGAATACAGGCAAGGTCTCACCTACCTCTCTCACACAATCCTAACAGCTCATTTTAGCACCTGAATGTTCTTAGCCATTGAAAAGTGTGTGACTGTAGACTCACTACCTACACTGCCTTTTAGTATGTGGGGGGAGGGGGGGAAGAGAGAGACAAGAAAAAAAAAAAACCAGAAGAAGAAACCCTAACAAAGTACAGCAATGGAGAAAAACTTAAGGAATTAAAACCAGACCATTAAAACTTGCAGCATCCCATTACAATCCAAGAAGTTGCAAACATGATCAAAAGCGCTTTCCCAAAATCTGCCCCTCAGGACAAGGAGACATTAAATATATTTCAAGTCTTTCCAAGAGTCCTTTTGAAACGGGAGGGTGCTCCCAACCTCCCTCTTTAGCCTCGGATCAAGTAACGGTGTCCTTCATTTTGGAGACGATTTTCTTGTCTTTGACTCTGCGGTTCTGGAACCAGATGGTGACCTGCCTTTCGGAGAGATTGGTGGCTGCCGATATGCGCCTCCGCTTATCCTTGTTAATGAATTTATTCAGGGCGTATTCGCTCTCCAGCTCCTTCAGCTGCAGCTTGGTGTAAGGCACTCGCTTCTTCCGCCCACGCCGGTATACGCACAGGTCTGGCTGGTTTAGTGCAACTTCCCCTGCCGGAGAAGAAGGGCAACAAGTGAGTAGGAAAGGGGACATTTTCCTCCCGGGTCAGAGCCAAGAACCCAGGGTGCCCCAAAAGGAAGAGTAAGAGAGAACTTTGGCTGTCTTCTCCTCTTCCTCTTGGAGGTCTCAGAAAAGGCGTCCCCCAATAGGTGCCTGGCGTGCTCTGGGCTGACAATTTCTGTGCAGCCGCCCCAACCCACTGCATAAAACCACATAAAACCGCAGATTCCCGAAGGCCATCACCAACCTTTTCTAGTTTTAAGAATCACCTCCTTTAAGAATTCCCCTTCTTCCCTCTTTCTTCCTCCACACGTTCACAACTGATTTGGTTGGGAAAGAACAGCTGCAGAGACTGGGGGGCATCCTCGCCCCCCCCCCACTTCCTCACCCCAGGAATAAATCCAGGGGAATAAGTTTAAGGTAATCCAAAAGTGCTTTTTCAAAAGGCAACTGGACTTGGTTTTGGTTTTCCTTGAAGACGTTTCGCTATTCCTCCAGGTTTGGCTTCTCCTCTTCGTCTTGGATGAGAAGCGAAGCGACTTGAAGAAAAGAACAACCAAGTCCAGTTGCCTTTTGAAAAAGCACTTTTTCCAAGTGCTTTGGAAATGACCTGGATGACTGAGAATCTCCATAGAAGGTGAAGGCAACTTCAGAGGACGTCTGTGCAGGATCGGTCCACAGCGCTCTAGTCCTACTCCAGACCTAAGTTTAAATAACTACCCGAACTGCAGTGGATCTAGCTCTGGAAGGAGGAATAACTCAGTTCCTTCTTAGTTAATTTATCCCCTCGTGCGATTATTTCGCTGTAATTTAGGAACGCTCTGACGCCACAATCGTTCGCGGGAACGGACTATACGGGACCTGGCTGGAGTCTCTGCTTTGGGCCTGGCCGAACATTCCCGTCAGCTCGAGGGAACAGAGAGTCTTTGCAGATTTCGGGCAGGCAGCCATTGCTTCTTGGGCCTTCTGCGCTGAACTCGATGGGGAATAAGGTAGCGCCTGGCTTTAAAGTTCTACGTGGGAACTGAATAGTAAAAGCAACCTCACTGGCAGCTGGACTCGGCAGCCGATACACACAACCTTCCTTCCTTCCTTCCTTCCTTCCTTTCCTCTTTCCTTCTTTCTTTCCTTCCCTCCCTCCTTCCTTCCTTTCCTCTTTCCTTCTTCCTTTCCTTCCCTCCCTCCTTCCCTCCCTCCTTCCTTCCCTCGCTCCCTCCCTCCTCCCTTCCTCCCTTCCTTCCTCCCTTCCCTCCCTCTTTCCTTCTTTCTTTCCTTCCCTCCCTCCCTCCCTCCTTCCTTCCTTCCTAAGCGCAAGACAGCCTTTTCTCACCCGAAGCCCTTCAGACCTCTGACTACCATTCCACAGTATCAGGAAGCTACCAGACACCAAGCGAAGGCCTGCGCTTCTCAAATCGGCGGCCAAGCCTGCAACCCTACCGCCTCCAGGTTTTGAACGCTCCGGCCTTGACCTTTTTTACCGGGAGCCCCAAAACTTCTTCCCGGCTGCCTGGGCGCGCCTACCTGGGAAGGAAGACTTCCAGAAGTGGGAGCCCGGGGCCTGTTCCTTGGAGCAGTATACCTGTCCGTTCCAGCTGTTAGCCAAAGTCCAGGACTGGTAGCCCTCCATGGAGATGTAGGTCTCGTGCCGGGGTTCCCCCGAAGGGGCCGCCGGTCCAAAACTAGAGACCACGTCCAGGTAGCCGGGGGCCACGTGCTGGTAAGGGCCGGTGGCCGCATAGCTCTGGTAGAAGGAGACCTCCTTGGCTCGCGAGGAAGCGTCGCTGCCGACGCCCGAGGTCGGGGTGGCGGCCCCGAGGCCGGCCACGTCCATGTACTTCTCCACCGGGAAGGGGGTGTGCGGGGCCGCTTTCAGCGCGGCGTTCTGCTGGAGCCCCACGCCGTGCCCCAGGCGGCAGCTGTAGTAGCCGTGGCCAAAGGGAGGGTAACCTGGAGGATAGCCCAGGGCAGCGGCGGCCGTCGTGGCCGAGGGAGGTGCCGCCGCCGCCGGCCCGGCCGCAATAGGCAGTCCGGCGGTGCAGTCCTTAGACGAGGACGGCGTCTCAGAGGAAGAGGGTGGCGTGGAGCGCGCCACGCTCCCCGGGCCCGAGCGCTCGTAGGCGAAGCCCGATCTCGTCGAACCCGGCGGCGACGACCCGAAGATGGGAGGGGAGAGGAAGGTGCGGCTCTGCGAGCAGCCCCCGCCGCCTGCCCCGGGCTCTCCGCGCAGCGCGTCCATCTCCCGGGCGGCCGCGGCTCGGCTCAGGCTTCCCGCGCCAAGCAGCCGCGCTCCAGCTGCCTCCGCCGCCGCCGCCGCCGCTGCTGCTGCTGTTGCTGCTGCTGGTCCTTTTCCTCCCCGGCTTGGCCCTCAGGGGAAGAAGGCCTGCAGGCGCTCATGGCGTGCGAGTCGGGACGGGATGCAGAGCGGCGGCCTCCCTCTCCCAAGCGCCCGGGATGGTTTATAAAAACCCAAGGCCACACTGGGAGGGGGGCAGCAGCGCAGCCGGCCGTCCAAGGAGCTCGCCCGGGGCCTCATTGGCCAGGCGGTGCACGTGTCTCGGTCTGCGGGGCGGGCGGGGGTAGGGGTGGGTGGGAGCTGGGCCGGAGTTCCCTGCTCTCCCCTCCCCTCCCCTCCCTCTTCCAACTTCGTTTGGGACTTCGCTTGAGTTCTCTCAAGGCAAGGAAAGTAGGGAAGGAGAGGAAAGGAAAGGAAAGGAAAGGGGGGGAAAGGAGGAAAGGAAAGGAGGAAAGGAAAGGAAGGGAAAGGAAAAGAAAAGAAAAGAAAGGAAAGGAGGAAAGGAAAGGAGGAAAGGAGGAAAGGAAAGGAAAGGAAAAGAAAGGAGGAAAGGAAAGGAGGAAAGGAAAGGAAAAGAAAGGAGGAAAGGAAAGGAAAGGAGGAAAGGAAAGGAAGGGAAAGGAAAAGAAAAGAAAAGAAAGGAAAGGAGGAAAGGAAGAAAGGAAAGGAGGAAAGGCAAGGAAAGGAGGAAAGGAAAGGAAAGGAAAGGAAAGGAAAGGAAAGGAAAGGAAACAGGAGGTAATTAAAAACGGAAACACGAAGATGTATCTCTACACGTAGATATATTTACATACATGTACATGCTTTCTCTCTTTTACATATATGTACGCGCTCTCCCTCTCCCTCCCCCGCCTCTCTCACACACACACGGATCCTGCCTGTTCACGCTTTTTCACCAAGATTTGGGAGCGACGTAGATTTCCAATAGTTCGCCAAGAGAAAGGGACAGACCCAGAATCCACAGGCCTCCGTCTTTAGGCCCGTGCTCTCGAGCGGCTGCTCCTTCGCCTTCCACGCCTCCCCTCCGCTGGCATTAACCTTTAGCCTTGGGCGGGAGCAGGAGCAGGAGGTCTCCAGAATTGGTCTGAAAGGAGCAGAATGTTTTAGCTGATTCGTGTGATCCCCTGTTAGTTTAAAAAAAAAAAAAAAGCAACCCTGTTAAGAAACGGGGCGTAGCAGGGCAGGAGGGGGAAACGGTCTTGGCCATTGCATTACACTTTGGCTCCCGGGAATTGTTCGCTTGCTCTCGGAGCCTTCTGATCTCTGCTCTCCGAACCCAAACCAGTCCCTGGGCAACCTGCAGAATTATTCTTATTTTCCAAGTGCGGCGGCTGCGGCAATCCTTTTGAGTTGGCCTTTCTCCGACTCGACACATTGACGTGCCCGGCTCACTCTCGAAGTACTTCGTTTAGTTTTTGAACTATTTCCTCCGCCCCCATGTCGGATCGGTTTCCCTGGTTGTTTTCTTCGACTGCTGCCAGCCCCAGTAAGGATTAAGATCTTGGCTAGGCACGTGCGAGGCGAGAGGAGGAAAAAAGGTGATCTGTGTGTGCCTGTAATAATATTACCGGTGCACTCGCTGACTGAATCGGGGCGCCCAGAATAGACACCCCCGAACTCCTCCATCCGTTTCTATACGCCGAAAGAGCTGAGGTATACATGCCACTTTCTCCCACCACCCCCCTCCAGTAAAGTAAAGTAAAATTCCGAAGAGCCTGGTCGTCTTCCTTTGGGGCATAAACATGGAAATTTAAGGAGACACCAAAAGTCAACGAAACGCCGTTTACGTGAAAACGAAGCAAAAATTCCTCCAACTAAAGAGAACTCCTGTTGCATGCGATTTTTCATGGAAAGGACTTTCCCAACTAACTCTCATCTTCTGGCTTCTTCTGGCTTCTTCTGGCCACGCGAATGACTTCGAACAGCCAAGGGTTGATCTGCCCACTTGAACTCCAGATTTTTTTTCCACTCCCCGCAAGTCTTTCTGGCTTGCCCGGGATCTCCAACCTTTGGAAGGGGACTTTTCACGAAGCCGCCAGAACAAGGTTCTAGCACAGATCTCACAGCAGCCTTTGGCTAGCTGGTTCTCCTCAGGCGCGACTAATTAAAATGCCATCAAAATTGGGATTGCTAGGAATCGTAGTCCATTGCATGCTGGAAGGCTCTAGCTTGCGGTGGACTTTGGGCCTGAAGAATACTATAAATCTGGGGCAAGGATGTTTGCCTTATATGACAGTGCACTGAATTGTTCATATGTTGGGTAGAGAAGAAAAGGAGGAAGGGTCGACCATGCCCGTGAAGCTAGGTTTTTTTAAAAACATACTATCGGCTAAAGTGCCTTTTAAATCCCTTAGCATCTCTGCAATGGGAAAGGCTATTTTTCCTCCCCTTGATGGAAGTACTACTCTAATAAAGCAGGCAAATTAAATCTGTGATAAAGCGGGATAAAGTTAGCCAACAAATGAATCTTTGGTTTGCTCCGAAATCCAAGAGTGGTGCTGCGGAACAAAGCAACCCGCTCCAAGAGACCCAGAGTAGTCAGAAAAGCAGTAAACACCTTTCTGTTGGATAAAACTCATCTTTGGGCTTACATGCGTAGCCTTCCTAGTGACCTTGGGTGGTTTTACAGAAGTGAGGAAAAGCACAGCAGCCAGAGGCATACACAACCACACACAGAAATCCACCATTGTTAGTCCGGAGTGTTTATTTTAACTTTCTATAATTTGCTCCTCATTCACCCTTGAAGCCAATATAGCAAAACCAACTAAGACCCTACTTACTTGTAGTTTATGTTAAATTTATCACATCATTACCCCACATTTATCCCCCGCACCTTTTATATATCTATATATCCTGTGCACCTATTGTATATTCAGTGACTTTTACATTTTTATGTCCGGGTTTTCTGGCCTGGTGGCTTGTAATAAAGTTATTCGATTTGATCAAGATCTTTGCTTTTCCTCCTCTTTAAATCTAGCTCAGATTTATTTGTGGGCTTGTGGGACAGAAAGTAATTAGGAAGGGTGTTCAATCTTTGGGTGTGTGTGTGTGTTTCAACTCAGCTGTATCCCACCGTTTCCGTTGCCCTTTATTATACAGATTTTAGCTATATTCCTCATTTGGAAATAGTTTTGACATAAAGTAAATCTCAGAATGGAAAGTAAGTTCCCAGCTTTGGGACAGTCAAGTTGAATTGCATTTGTGTCTACGGGGTAAAAGGATTCCTGAAGCATTTCCTTCTTTGGTGGCAAAAGGTCAGTGGGAAGGGTGAACTAAGCTAAGAGCTGCAGTCAAAGCCCCACTTATTTCTGGCAGTCTTCCCATGCAGTTCCTAATCAGGGAATAATCAATTTATTCCCAAATCCAAAGGTTGCATCCAATATGCTCAGAAACAATTCATTATGTAGGGAGTATCTCTTTTGTACTGAATTATATGACCTTCCAAAGTCATATAAACAGAAAACTGCTGCATGCTCTCAGCACTGGAGAATAAAAATCACGTGCTAGCAAGGCCAAAGAGTCACTCTAAGCCACTTTCTCCATTTGTGGCTCTGATTTTGTTCCAGATGAGCCATGTTTTCTGGACAGCATCACAAGCTGCCGTTATGGAATAGGGGAGTTCACCCTGCCCTATGAATTTCAACAAACAAGGGGAGGAGAGAGGGACATAAAACAAGGATTTGCCAAGCCCAACCTGCCCAACCTGATTGCCCACTTTGAAATAGCACCTTTTTTGCTCCCAACTCCGCCCTTGTGGAACTTTTTCTTTCTCCTTGGCACTTAGACAAATAGACAAGTGTCAATATGTTAACTTAATAGCCTGAAAAGTCCATTTCCAAAATCAAAAGCTGTTTTAGTTTTTAAACCTTTCCCAAGCCTCTAAATCTCTTTTAACCACATCTTAAGATGCAAAGACTAAGGTTCAAAGTATTGCCTTTATGCCAAGGTGTTTTCAAATAGTTGCCAGTGGTATCCTTTAAAACTCTGGCCAGATTATCACTTCAATTGCCTAACTGGCATGGCTGACTTTTCTTTGGGAAAGTCAAAAAAACTTCATTTATTTTCAGTGGTTGGTCCCCAATGTCGTATTGAATGAGATTGCTTGAAGATACTGAAGGTTTTTAAAATATTAGCAATAGCTGCACAAATAGGTAATCCTACTTATTTTGCTAATCTACATATTCTTTGATCACCCTCCTCTTCCTCCCCCTCCACTCCCCCTTTCTCCGTCTTCTTTCCTCCTCCTCCTCCTCCTCCTCCTATTTTTTTAGTATTTATTTGATTTGTCAATCGCTTACAAGATACAGGTATAAGAATAAATATAGTTTTGAATACATGAGATAGATACTTATAAGAAAAATAAAAAACCCAATACTCCTCCTCTTCTTTTCTCCCCCATCTTTCTGGTTCATTTTCTTCTTCCTCTTCTTCCTCATTTTTTTAAAGTTCAGACTTTGTCCTTCCTCACAGGGAAGTCTCCAGGAGCCCACTGTGATTTAGGTTGTAGATCTGCTTCACTTCTGGCTTCTTGTGCCATTAATGGGTCGCTGTGTCTGTTGATTGTGTGGCAAAGTAGTAACATTTGCAGAGTGAGATACAGTGTATAATCCACCGCTTGTCCATTTGAAGTCATTCCACTGAGTTAAATCAGAGAGAATTTCATGAGACCTCATGCCAATAGACTGAGGTCAGGAGGAAGGAGTTGTCAGATCCAGAATGAAACCTGACCAGGCAGAGCAGTCCAAGTTCTTCACAAAATATTTTACTCCCTTTCAAGATTCCCTCTGCTTATACATGACAATTAATTGACTTGGTGACTTCTGTTGAATTCAGCAGAGGACAAAAAATGCTTAACTTAAACATTGCTGGAGCGGTTTAAATATGAAGACTTCAGTGTCTATCCCTGGAAAGGCATTTTAGCCACACAGTATTTTATTAAATAA